CCTACCCTTTCCTCACTCCTTCTGGTGCTGTCTCTCCTTCTCGGATCTCTCCCTCTGGTTTTTTGGTGTCTGGTGACTGCCCTGTTTCCAAACATCATGGCCCCCTCTTCTCCCGCAGCAGCAGGATGACTGTCTGGAGAAAGTGATTAAGGACACGGAGTCCCTCTTCAAGAGCCGCGAGAAGGAATATCAGGAAACCATCGACCAGATAGAGGTGGGCCAAGGACATAGTGGTGAAGATGGGGGTTGGGTAAGGAGATGGGGGATCTAAGGATAGATGGTGACCCCCAGGAGGGATGAGAGAGTTGATCATTGTAGATGTCCCCTGTGACTGGTTGGTGAAGCTGGGCATTGTCCCCTAGTGGGAGGGGCTGGAGGGAGTGTGCAGTGTCTCCATGTGGCATGGGAACAGGCCAGCTGTTTCAGTGCCCCATTGCTCCCCTTTGTGTAGCTGGAACTTGCAACAGCAAAGAATGACATGAACCGGCACCTGCACGAATACATGGAAATGTGCAGCATGAAGCGTGGGCTGGATGTGCAGATGGAGACCTGCCGCCGGCTCATCACCCAATCTGGAGACCGGTGAGTTCCAGGGTTCCTGCAGCTCTGGGAGGGTTTGTCACAGGCGGTTTGCTTGCTCCTCCTCCCCCAGGGAGGGAAATGGGCACGCACCATGCTTGGGTGTACGGGGGGTGGGAGCACGTTGTTCTGAATTGATATGTTGCTCTGTATCTTGCCTTAGAGAAGGCAAAGTCAAAGGAATGTGCCTTGTACTTGGAGCGGAAGGGGGGAGGTTTGTTCCACTCCCACACAAACTAGGTGCTCCAAGCCCTCCCAGCACTGGGAGAGGAGTGGGCGCTAGTGAATGGATGGGTGGGGGCTGGGCTGGCAGTCACACCTGGTTTGCACTCTGAGTGATCAGCTGTAACCACCTTGCAGACTCCTGGCAGGAGTTGAATTTGGTGCCATGTGCCTATGGAAGATGAATCGTGCTCAGGTGTCAGCTTTGACAGGTGATGTTACTGTCTAAAGAGAACCTGGAACAGTATCACCGATCTGCTGGGACTTTCTGCGGGCCTGTGGGAGAATGAAGTCCGTGCAGCTCTGGGCTGGGCACTGCTGGAATGAGCTCTGCTGGGTGCTACCAGGGCATTGTTCTGAGCAAAGCCCCCATTGCCGTCCCCAGCACTTACGTAGGCTCCATCTGACTCCCCTGCCATGTCAGTGGTGACCTATGGCACCCAACTAATGCCGCCTGTGTTAACTGCACCCCTTCCACTACCTGAGGAGTCCCTCTGGCCCCCAAAGCACCCCAGAGGGTGCCAGTTATAATAGCTCGGCCCCCCCCCCCCCACTGTGGTGCCCACATGACCCCTGCCCTTTGTTCTCTTTCAGAAAGTCTCCTGCTTTCACACCTCCCTCAAACAGTGAGCCGGCCCTGAATGAGGAAGCGGAGGAGTCCAGTCCTGACCTCCCAACTGATGCCTCTATCAGATAATTCGAGAGGCCCTGCCCCCTCCTGGCAAGGCAGAGAGCAGGGGTGTCTGAACTGTGGCTGGGAGAGACGACAGGGAGCCACCATCAAAACTCTGTCATCTAATCCCTCCTCATGTGGGTGGAGGTGGGGAACTTACCCAAAAAGGACATGCTGAAAATGAGAACAGTTAGCTAGAGCTGAGAGCCCTCACATAGGGTCCCTTCCCTCTCCCCACCTCTGTGTTCCCTCCCTCCACTTGGCTCTAACTGGGGTCAGATAGGAAGGAGCCAACCTTATTATAGCATTGCCTGGGACCTATCTCCTGGGGACCTCCCAGGTCCACTGCCTCCGTCCCATCCTGGTATACTTGACCTGTCTCCCCCTGTACCCCTTGTGCTGCTCAGAGGTAGAGTGGGAGCTGTGCCTCTCTCAAACATTGGTGCCAACTGGACTGAATGCTGGACTCTCTCTGCCCTCTGTGCTCACTGAACACTCACGTGGTTCCTGCGCAAGGTACTGAGAGCTTCTTCTCTCCTTGGGGGCAGGGAAAGGGCCACTGGCTCCCGCCCCCCCGCCCCCTCCATGCACTTTGCTTTGCTGCGCATCTGTGGTGTGATGACGTGTGTGTCTGTGTTTGTGTTGGAAACAAGGACTCATTAAATGGGACAGTCGTGCCCTTTTCTACAGCTGTGTGGGGTTTAATTGGGCTGGTGTGGGAGGTGGAGGGCACTGCTGAGAGGAAATCTTCTGTAGGCAGCCCTGAGCCGGCACTGCTGCGGCGTCTGCTGGACTCTGAGGGCAGGTATTGGGGCTTCCACCCCTCGATCAGGCTGCCACCATGAGTGGGAACACGGTGGGGCCACGCCACCCTCCAGGGACCGCGCTTGGTATTTTGAGTGGTCCAAAGGGCTAGGCTCCGTTTTTAAAATAACAAAGTCAACATGGGCCCTGCTTTGCTGAGCTTCCATTCTAAGCAAGGCCCCTCATGGAGCCTTGTTACTCTGCAATTTGTCACCCCTCCCAGCCCACGTGCTCACCACGTACTTCTCTACTAGTGGCAATGGGAGTCCCTATCGCCCTACTCACGGGGTGATTTCTGAGCCTGCTACATCCCTGGCAGCAACTTGTCTGTCAGGCACACCTAACCTGAGAATTCATTCCCATCTCCTTGCAAACACACACTGAAATGTGGCGGCAGGACAACAGCAAGCACACGCTCCCTTGCCTAGGATGGGATAGGAGGACTCTGCCTCAGGAACCCATCCCACCCTAAGAAACTGGTCTCGCGTGTGCTGCGTGGCAGAGCGCTCTCCCTTCGGTGGGAGCAGGCTGCACAGAACGATTTACCAATTCCAGTCGTGATTCAGTTACCAAGCAGGAAACCCTAGTTTCTGTCATCACTGGTGTTAGTCTGGAGTTGTTCCCTTGAGCCTGCCCAGCACTGCTCCCGCTATGGTGTGTCCACCTGCAAGCAAGTCCTGCACCTTTCCTGCTTATCACCCAACTGCCCTCTGCTCTGTTGAGCTGCTCTTTATATACAGGGCTGCCCCAGCAAACTGCCCTCTGATTGGCTTCTTAAAAGACTCTTCTTGATTGTCCAAGGCTCTGTGCATGCTCCCTCTAACTTTAGCCCCTTCTGGCCAGAGTGGGGCAGGCACTTCACTGCAGAAGGGTGTAACAGGTATGATAGTTTCCCGCAATAGCATGGATAAGCCTTATTGAATAATGTTTAAGCATTTTAGGAGTTCATTCTGTTAAAAAAGGACAATTTCAAATAGTCCTCTGAAGCTCATATACTTCCCAGGGGTTATGAGTTATGTTTCTCCCCTAGAGATGTTACACACCACGCCACAATTATGTCCTTCCTTTCCCAGGAAGTCTGTAAGGGGAGATGTATGCAAATATCCCCCCTCCAGTTATTGAAGAACTCAGCCTTTTGAAACTTTGCCTTTTGTCAGCTGTTACTTGAGGACAAGATCAGAAGTTCAGCTGTCCAAAGAAGTCTCTCCAGTTCATGATGGTGCTTGTTCTGAGCCAAAGTGATTATGAACTTAAACCCCACACACAAAAACACTTTGATGGTGTTTGAAGGGCTCGTCACATGATTTTGCTGGAATGATCTGTAATGAGCTCATTGGTATATGTGTATGTTCAATTATTGTTTATAAAGGTTTCTTCTGTCATGCTTTCACTTTAAGAATAAATGTGTGTGCTTTGGAGAAGCCTCATGGTACCGTATAACTGGGCAATTATACGAGGTATAGCCTCAGAGGAGAAAAGCAAAGCAGGCCGACTGAGGCAGTCTGCTTGGCTAGGGAATACACAGTGTATACATTGAACTGTTCAGCCTGGGAAATCCCTGGTTAAAAGGGAGAAAGATGCTTGTCTGCAACCAAGAGAGTTGATGGCTGGCAGCAAGAATCTAGAGCGGCTGCCCTTGCTGGACCACCGAGCAGGGAATGTTGTCCTGTCCAGTTGTCCTGACAGTCTCTGTGCAGGACGACTTTGTATATAAATCAATTGTCAAGGGAACCTTTGGTTAGGAGTTGCAAATGGAATTTTCATCAACATTATGGATCATCCTTCTGTTTACATATAGTTCTGCACTCACCTGTTGTCACCTGCCCTTTTCAATGCTGTTTTCCGTTCTGCTGGAAGATAGACAAGAGAGCTGGTGTAGGACATGCCAGGTGGGAGCTATGCTGTAAGAGAAGATACATGGACTGGAAGTACAAGTTTCAATAGTGAGCAGCAGCTGAGAAAATTGACACTTCTTGGACAATCCAATTCAGAAATCCTTGCCATGGATACCACAAGAGAAAGGTTTGCAGTAAGACAATGGAGAATGCATAAAAACTGAAGAAATGAAATGATTTGTGACTAAGAAAGGAAACAGAATGAGAAGCCAATTGACCTGGTTAGAAGAATTGAATTGCTATCAGTCCTTCAGGGAGTAAGCTACTGAGGAACTGTTTCTGGAGGATCAAAACAGGGGACACACTTAATGGGTATCCTTATGGTAGGAAGTAAGCAGCTACCAAGAGAAATTCTTCAACCAGCCTGCGACAGAGACTCTGTATTAAGAAAGCAATAGACAGAGAATTCAGCAAGACTGTACAAGAGAGTGCCGCCTCTCTGGGTCCAATGTGTAATTGCGTTAAAAACCATCCCTCAAGGTTTTTAAGTCCTGGCTTGACAAAGCCCTGGCTGGGATGATTTAGTTAGGATTGGTCCTGCTTTGGGCAGAGTGTTGGACTTGACTCCACCCTGTGATTCTAAGATTGGATGTATTATGAGGTTCTCTGGCAAGTCTCCATTATTATTGTCACAGTTCAGGACAACTGCCCCTGCATTCCCTTTCTATAGCCTGCCAAAGGCACCCACGATTAGACTTTCAGCTCCCCAGCCATAACTTCTCTCCCTCTTGACTGGGATATTTCCAGGCTGCACAGTTCTCTGCCTCCGTGATTTTCCTAGCAGGGCCAAATTTTTCTAAGCAGGTTTGCTTTGCTTTTCTCCTCATATATGGTAAACAGTGTAATTGCTACAGTCAAGTTACCACACCCCACTTTCTAAGCAAGCACATTTATTTATAAGGTAAAAGCATTACAGAGAAAACCTATTAAAATAATAAAAGGACATGTGTGCTAACAAGTGTGCTACATGTGTGCTAACAAGCTTACCAGAGCTCTTCAAACTCTACTGAGGATTTTTCAGTGGCTATAGTTCATATCTACTTTGGTTCAGAACCACCACTCCCGTAAATCTGTGCATTGCTCATTTGGGCCTTTTGATCCTGGGAGTAGGCAGAGGCCCCTCAGCACTAGGAAGCTTCAAAAGATCAGGTGTGAAGGTGGGCATTTGTGTTTCCCTACTCAACAATTCATTCTTGTCCTTGCCCATTGTTTAAAAGAGTTTTTTTGAATCTTGTAACACTTCCCAATATTTACATTAGTCATTTCTCCCAGACATGTTACCAACAATCCCACAAGAGTGCATAAACCTTTGCACTGTAAAACAATGAGTGCCTATGGGACTGAAACGTAATTAGGGTTGCCATTTTGCTCAGACTGGATGCCACTGCAGCAAATGGCATCTGGTCCATCCAGACCAGGAGAGCTGCCAATCCAAAACATAATTCAGTAAGGCTTGGCCAGGATAGGCAGGGCAATTTCTTGCATTATCACAATTATAACCTATTACATAATTCTAATCAATGAAATGGCTTCACATGGAACTACACAGCAGAAGAGATGAGAGATCTTGGAGGATGAAGTGGAGATTCTTCTGGTCCTGAGAGTGAGAGAAGGGAGAAAATATTGGAGGTGAACCATTGACTGAACAGCAGGCATGCTACTAAAGGTTTAGGTTGGGTACAACACTGGTCAGTGCTCTAGTGGGGAAATGGCACAGCCTGCATCTCATGCGTAGGGGAGCTAATCTTAGTTAGACACTTGCTGGAGTAGCCAGGAACAATCCAATAGCAAGGTACTATGGAGCCACATACAATTCAAACTCAATGTCATGTAAAATTGAACCAAAGTAACAAGGAATGTGAAGAGAAGACATTTTTTCAATTGCTTTCAATGTTGTGTGTCTATGAGGAGAGGCTGAGGGACTTGGGTCTGTTTAGTCTGCAGAAGCAAGAGTGAGGGGGGATTTGATAGCAGCCTTCAACTTCCTGAAGGGAGGTTCCAAAGAGGATGGAGAGAGGCTGTTCTCAGTAGTGACAGATGGCAGAACAAGGAGCAACGGTCTCAAGTTGTGGTGGGAGAGGTCCAGGTTGGATATTAGGAAAAACTATTTCACTAGGAGGGTGGTGAAGTACTGGAATGGGTTACCTAGGGAAGTAGTGGAGTCCCCATCCCTAGAGGTGTTTAAGACTCGGCTTGACAAAGCCCTGGCCGGGTTGATTTAGTTGGAATTGGTCCTGCCTAGAGCAGAGGGCTGGACTTGATGACCTTCTGAGGTCTCTTCCAGTTCTATGGTTCTATGATTCTATGTACCCAACAAGAGGACTTGGGAATTTTCACTGATGAAAAAAATTGGATATATAATTGCTATTACTGAAACGTGAGAGTGATTTGTATGCTTAGAATGTTTAAAATGTTAGTTACAAATGATCAAGGAAGGATAGAGAGCGGGAATGATAATGGGGGGGGTTGCACACTATATTAGTTTTACTTTTAGAATTATTGATCATTCAGAGCTGCAGAATCTTGAACACATAGGCTACGTTTAGGCTGGCAAAATTTAGCGCAAATACTCTAAACGCAAGAGTTTTTGCGTTAGTGTATTTGAGTAAGAGAGCGTCTACACTGCTATGTGCCTTTGCGCAAAAGAATCCGTGCCGGTGTAGACGCTCTCTTGCGCAAGAAAGCTCCGATGGCCATTTTCGCGATTGGGCTTTCTTGCGCAAGTTGTTACCTGTCTACAATGGCCTCTTGCGCAAGAACACTTGCGCAAGAGGACTTATCCCTGAGCGGGAGCGCCAGAGTGTTTGTGCAAGAAGCACTGATTTCATACAGTAGAACGTCAGTGTTCTTGCGCAAATACTCTTTGCCAATCTAGACACAGCCACATGGTTCAATGTGCTAACAGACAAACCCTGAGAAGAGAACACTGGTGGGGATCTGTTACAGATCAACTCAAATCAGAGAATACCTGTCTGTATGAATGGAAAGAA